TTGCTGTGGCTTCAAATGCCCGAGGGGAAGTTTGCTTATGGAATGGGTGAGCCTTAGCCCTCAGGAGAATTAAGGAGCTGATTTTTGGTTATTTTCTCCAGGGTGATTCCAGTGGTGGCCAACATCTCTGCAGAAAAAGAGAGAGAGGGGAAGAGAAGGGGCTAAACTGGGACTATCCCAAAGGGTGAAACAGAAGTTGCAGTGAAGATTACAGCACCAATAGCAACGTGATTTCCTGCTGTGTATTTAAAAATAATCACCTTCCTTGCTTGTTTTCAGTATTCTTCAGTACTTTGTTCCACTTTTGAGTGTCAGGCTATGGAATGACTGCTTTCAGGCTAAGCTGATTTAAAGGTGAGAATTCCAGTCTAGTGGAAGGTGTCCCAGCCCATGGCAGGAGGTTGAACTGGATGATCTTTAAGGCCCTTTCCAACCCAAACCATTGTAAGATTTTATGATTCTGCATCAAATGTGTCCACATTAATTTCCTGCTGATGTTCTCTATGGGCCATTTCTCCTGCATCACATGAAACTAAAGGGAGCTGACAGAGGAAAGCATTAACCAGTTAACCTGGCCTCACTGTAAACTTAGAAAAACATGCTCAAACTAACTCCTTGTTATCTCTTACTAGTGTCACTGCCAATATTGAAAAAAAAAATCATTTTTACAGCCATTCTTTGATAATAATAATGTCCAAAGACCTCTTAAAAATTTCTTTAATATAACATCAGCCATATGCTCCTGCCATATGGAATATGTAGGTGTGGGCCACCAAGGTACTGCAAGTGAGAGAAGTGGAGATTACTCCTTAAATGTGTGCATAGTTTTTGTGCTCCTGAGTTTTCAAAGCAATCCCTCTCGCTTCCAAGGAAACTCTGGAAGACACAAGAACTGGGCACAGTCCAGACTGTGTGCTCCTCACGTTCTGCACAGTGAGGGAACTTTCAAGACACACACTTCCTGTGTCATCACCCAGCCAAGGAAGGACAGCTCAAGGTCTGCTGGTCACTGAAATCTTCTCTTGCAGGGAATTGTAATTGTGGTTGTAGATAACCACTGGGAATGGCATGAAGTACAGCTCTGGGTAAATAATAAACAGGGATGTTTAAAGATCTCAAGTGCTGCTGCAAATCTGAGTCATAAAAAAGGAGAGTTGTAAACAACATTTAGAGGTCACCCAGGCCCTTCTGTAGCCACACAGCTCACACTTGTCAGTGGAGGTGCTCACACAGCACAGAGCAGCACACAGAAATCACAGCAGTAATTAAATTTAAGAACAGATGGATGATACAACAAGGAAATAAATGTTATTTTCCCAACAACAGCACAGTATGTGGACTCAAGTATAAAACTTTTATGCCATGTGAAGCATTTTAAAAAACATGAAAGCATCAGAGTCTTATTCATATCATGGCTTTACAAACCAATTTTAATGTGCTTGATTTACAGGTGATAATCTATTAACACCAATTTTTTCAGTAACTTTTCACAACATTGAGTCCTACAATTTTTTTGGGGGTAAAGTTGGTAGAAATTAAATAATATATAATCTAGCCTATATGTTTATACTGGGCCTATTACAAAAACCTTTTAGCTCCATACACAATACACTGGATTTGTCTGTGTTCTTGTGCAGTTATTGCAAGGGTTTTTATTTCAAAATACACTCTGAGAATGAATACATTAGTCCATTTACATGATTGAACTTCTAATATTTTTCAGTTTAGGACCCAGAAATTATGATGCTGATAGAATAAATGCCCAAGACTGTGTCAAGCAGTAGCTAGGAAGTTTCTCCTGCTGTTGGCACAAAACAAAGTGAGGACTCGACTCAGGTTTTGATCTGTCAACAATGCCAGCTGGAAAAAATTGCACTGCTTCAGCTTTCTCTCCCTAAATCAGGAATGACCCTTTTCCAGCACTGTGCAGGGATGGTGTTGGGGAACTCCCTGAGTTTATAAAAATGCTTTGAGCTGCCTGTATCTAAAGTGGTAAAGCAATGGGAAAATGCTACCACTGAGATTTCTGCATTAGTGTCTTCTGGGTTTAAAGCAATTGGGAAGTTTGCCTCCCTTCTGTGCTGTAAAGGGATTCCTGTAAAAGACTCTGGTTTGGGGCTGAAATTGCAAGGTTGCTTTAGCCATGCAGAAATGCATGTTACTGAAATGGATTTCCTTGTGTTTTAGTTTTCTTCTACTTTGTTGGAGGTTACTGGGAAAAAAAAGGCAGCAGAAATTCTCTCTCTATTCCAGCAATAAAGGTGCATCTGGGCTCTGCAGAAGGACCCTGTGCTACCACTCTGGATTCCTTAAATGCAATTTTAAGACTATTTGCATATTTGGTTTTGCAATTAACATAACCTCTTTACACAACAGTTTACATCACAAACCTATTTACGTTACATCTTCAGTGACCTCTCAGTACCTGGTGGGCAGGGATGCCAGTGGAGCAGGGCAGGTGGAAAGCAGCATCCTGCAGTGTCCTGGGGGAATCACTTCGAGGAGGACTGGAGGCTGCTGCAGGTGGCTCTTGGGGTTGGTTCTGTCCTTTAGCACTGAGCACAGCCCTGCCAGGGCTCCTCTGGGTCCTTGCAGCTCAGCTCTTGCTCCTGCCCTTGCACCACTCATGCCCTGGCTCAGCCTCTTCTCCCCATCTCTGGCCAAGAAACCCAGCACAGCAATTTTTGGCAGGCAAAAGAGATTGGCATCACTAAGTGCAATAATTTGGAAAATGCCATGAAATTCCTCCTCCATCTTCATTTGTTTGCTCCAGATCCTCATTCTTAAAATTCTTGCTTTTAAGGAAACAGGAACTGCCTGGCCTGTGTTCTTATGCCATAAGCTAAGTGTATTGTGTGTAGTAATACATTTCTGATAGTCCTTTCTTCTCAAAGGATGAGACAGAAAAATAATTTAGGAAAAAAAAAGAAGAGAAAAAGTAATTATAAACTAGGTGTGGGAATATTTTTGTTTTGGTTGGGTTTTTGTTTGTTTGTTTGTTTTTTGCTATTTCAACTTTCTTTTGTGACTCTTGTCAAATTTCTTTCCGTACTCAAAAAGTATGGAAACACCTTTTTAATTCCATAAAAGTGAAGAAAAATGCTGTTCTTAGTATGTAATTAGTATAGGCTAAATCAGCATTCATACAGTGCCTGTTGATCTAGAAGGGATGATAGGAAGAGCTGTGTGACTGATGTGGGGAGGGAAAAGGGAGAAATTTGGGCAGAGGGAGAAGTTTTAGATGTTTTATGTACAGTAACTGGAAGGCACCTGGGATGAAATAAAAACCCAAAATCTGGCCATAGTTTAGAAAAGAAAGGCTAAAGGAAAAAGTTTAAGGAAAAGGAAAAGGCAAAAGGAAAAGGAAAAGGCAAAAGGAAAAGGAGAAGAGAAAGGAGGGAAGGATGTTGTTAAAGGAAGAAGACAGCCAAGTTACACCTGCACCTCCAAAAAGAAATCCATCTCCATTGGCTAAAGGATGCGACTTTGTCTTTTTTGATGTGGCTGTCAGTGCTATGATTAAGGAATTTTATAATTCCAGTCTGCATTTTTGCTACATACATGCACTATGTGGGAATGCAATTAGCAAAGCTAGAGCAAATTATTTCAGGATGTGCTGTTTCCACATCCCTTTGCCTTTGTGGCACCCTTTGCAAAAAGGGAAGTTTGCTCCAAAAACGCACTGGCTCCTGCTTTGTTTTCAGCTGTGACGTAAAGCACAGACTTTAGCTTACAAACTGGATATGGTTTGAAGTTCTTGCTCCTGACAGATTGTTTTTTCCCTGGCAGCTGTCTGGACCGGGGCACTGCTGGCAAGGGAATTTGTCTCCAGTCTCTCTCTGCCTGCTGATCCTTCAGAGCCGTGTCTGGGTACGTGCAAGGGCCCGTGTCCTCATACCCAGCTGGCTCCAAAATGCTGAGATTCTTTAACTGAGCTGCCACCCTGGGGGGATGTAAAGATGTAGGTGTGGCTCTGAGGGACACGGTTGTTAATGGTGGACTTGGCAGGGCTGAGTTAAGTGTTGGATTCGATGAACTTTTCCAGCCTCAACTATTCTGGGATTCCACATTTCCTGAGAAATGCTGGGCTGCTTAAGTGGCTATTAAATTTTTAGAACTCATAGAGTCCTTGAGATAAGGGCAGGCAGTCTGGATTTTTAGGGCCAACAAAACTACACAGATGTCACCTTTTAAACCTTCTGATTGCAGAGGAGCCTCTTTAACTGTAGGAAAAACTGGAATACAAATAAAGAATTTTATAGACCGAGCAATTGCTCCCATCAGGGTTTTTGGTTTTATTTCAAGTTTTTATTTGTAATCAAATTGTGTCTTGAAAAATACACAAAATCTGAGACAAACATTTGAAGGAGAGGACACAAAAAGACAGCCACAGTGTGTACAATTCTTATAGTCAAATTTCTCTGTGCAGTTGGAGCCCCTCTGTTCCACTGAGCTGCTCTGTATGCAGGGTAGCCAAATATCAGCTGAGCTTCCATCAGCACCAGCACAGGCCGTGTGTGGGATTTTGTTTCTGCTCCCCACCATGGAGAAAGGGCCTTTAGTTAAGAAATTCAAAGGTTACTGTCTCCTTTATGTCCACTTTAAGCTCTGATTTATTCTGTCCCTTCCTTGCAGAAACAATCTTGTCTCTCCATTGGACAAAAAAAAAAAAAAAGAAAGGTGCAACTGTTCCAGGTGGAATGACTTTGTGTGCATCCTCGTGAATCATTCCTCCTGCCCCTCCTTCAGCAGGAGGGATGTGTTCAGTCACTGCTGACGACCAGTTCTGCTCTCTGGATGCTTTTTGGTTGTGAAACAAGGTAGTGGCAATTCTGGCCTGAAAAAAGCTTCTGCACTTCCTCCACATTGTTTGTACACAGGATCCTTTCGACCCAGGTTTTGCACAGGACACCTCTGCTACTGAATCGAACATTTCCAGAAATAAACCCATTTAGTTTGTATAGGTATCAGTTACAATGATTCTGATGAGTTTTTAAATATTTTTTTCCCCTCCAAGAGTACTGTTTTTAAAGGAGTAACATTGTCACAGTAACGATTTCTCATTGCACAGTTCTAGCTTAAGAATCCAGCTTTGCCATATGTAATGACAAAAAAAAGATAACACTGAATTCAGCCTTCTGAATTTTTTGGCTTATTTAGCAGTGGATTCTGTAGTAATACATCACTTCCTTCCTCTATGTGGATATTTTTTGAACTTCTACCCACTTTCTCAGCCAGCCTCACTCTTCTGCTGAAGAAATACTACATTTCTTGTGGAAAAAAAGGGTTCTTACTGATAGCCCATGACGCTTAGGAGTGAAAAAAGAAGCTGAAGTTCCACAGAATGAAGTTTCACAAAGTTTCCATCCTTACATTTCACTAAATGGGAGTATCTTCCTACTTCTAGTTTTTGTCTGACACAGAGGGTAGCTGCCCCCACTCCTCCTTTCAGTTGTCTTGAGGGAGAGCAGATGAGAGGCAAAAATCCCACCAGGATCAGCTACAACCTGATCCTGGAGATTTGTGAGCCTTTGATCCTGTCATGAGAGCAAACCCACACAATCCAAAATAAACTGTGTATCCTGGCAGCACTAAAAGTGGGCTCCAAGAAACAAATGCAAAAGCAGATTTGCCACCTCAGAGTTTTGCTGCCCTCGGTTTTTTGGAACACCGGGATGTGGGATGTAAACACCCAATGCTTGTTCTGTTCTCAGCTCTTGGTGCTTCTCTCCTGTGGCTCTGGAGCAGGTGTCACACTGACCCCACAGACCTGTCCTGCCCACAAAGGTCCTCTGGGCAGGAGAACTTCCCAAATTCAAGGTTGGCTTCCCCTCTTACAAGTGCCAAAGCCCCAGGGGGACCAGGAGGAGGAAAGAGAGGAGAAGCATAGCCAGACATGGCACATTCGTGGGGCTTCCAGAGGGAATCTGATTCTGCTCTGAAAAATTAAAAGAGAGAAAGTCAGCACGACGTGACGGCTTGACAAAAATGCGTATTACAAGTTTGCGTGACACATTTTACATGAATGCTTTTTTAAAACAATGGATTCAGGCTCATTTTCAAACTTCTCCTTTTGTGTGTCTGTACAGAGTCCAGACAAAACAGTCTCAAGGTACTGGGACAAATAATTTTTTTCTTTTTCATAGAAAAGGTGCAGAAACTCAGCAACAATGTCTGCAGCTTTTCTGGATGGCTGAGAATCCTTGTTTAAAATCCTGACAGAAAAGCAGCAACCAGCCAGCTGTTTAGTGGGAGCTGCCCCATGGCAGGGGGTAGGACCTGGGTGATCTTGGGATGCCTTCCAACCTAAGCCATTCTAGGATGTTAGGATAAAAACACATTTTCATTCTTCCTACTCAGGGCCTGAGACAGATGTTTTGATTAAGAGTCCATAAATAATGGTAATAAATATAAAAAATATCTGGGTCACACATACTTCAGGTGGCAGCAGCACTGTGTGCCACTCTTGGTACAAAACCCACAGTGTGGACACAGGGCACAAATCACCCTTAGCACAGGTGGTACCTTCAACCTGTGCTGGATGTAGAACACAAGTAAAAAGATATTTTTGACCCCTGACTTAAAAAGAAGATTTTTTTTCCTGTAATTGTTCCAAGTCCTTCTCTGTGAAGAACAGGCTGTACATTGATTTTTATATACCTGAGGGCTGCTCCTATTGCTGTGGTATCAGCTGCCAGTATCTCACTGTAATTAATTTATCTCTAGCCAGGGTGCTTCCCCCCTGTTCCTGGAAGGAGTTTGTGATATTAATGTGTAGAGAGCAAGTAAACATCAGGTAATCCCTCAGTAATGCTTTGAAATAAATGTAGGGTTGTAACAACAATCCCCTGGCCTTTTGTGTCTTCTGCCAGGCCCAGGCCCTTTCATTTTTCCCAGAAAAAGTATTAAACTAGTTTTATTGACCTAGAAGAAGTCTTGCAAAACACTCACATTGAAAGTAAAATTCTGCTCTTTAAAGTAGTTTGGAAAATTAATCCATGCAGCAAACAAACAGATATGTAGCCATAGTGAGACAGATGAAAATTGTTTCTGTTTTACATTAAAAGAGTATTTGTTGATCTGGTTGACTGTGAAATGTGAGAACTGTTTCTGTATATTATGCCTTCATTCTCAGCAGGCCATTTTTTAGTTTTCCTAAGTCCCTTCTGAAATAACAGCTAATATAATACAGATTCCCTTTCTCTCTTTCTTAAGAAATTGCTGAAAAAAAAAAAAAAGAGATGGGGAGAGCTGTGACTGATGATTTTCTTTAAAAGATGTTGACAACCGGGAATATATTTTTCCTTTTTGCAAAATATGACACTTTAAAAATTAGGATTTTGTTCTTTCCTCATCCCCAAGTCCCTCAAAATCCTGCAGAACAAGAACCATCAGGTGTCAAAGGTGTGATTCAGTTTGTACTCCTAGAGCAAAGGGAAACACCCCCCTTTTGTCCCAATAATTGATTTGTTTCTTCCTCAATGAAAATGCCTTTTCATTATAAGAAATAGTTTTTATTCAGGGGTAGTTGCAGGAAGGTTTTGGTTGAGTCAAACATACATACAACTATCTCATTTAAATGCAACCCACTCACATTTGGTTTTGAGAATCTTCCACTGCTTCTGCATTAAAAAGTTTGACCCTCAATAATTTCTGATATCCTGTGGAAGGTAACAGCTGGAGATATTCTAATTCCTGTTCTATTTGCTCTTATAAAGTAATATGAATGCACACAATACCATCTTGAATTTAACTTCATGTTTTTTAAAGACCTTTAGGCCAGCTAGACTACCTATCTTGGGTCTAAAAATGGATATTTCCTATATTTTTTCAAATGGTTTTTGCTCATCAAGCACAAGAACTGTTGGTTTTGTTTTGTTTTGTTTTGTTTTGTCTTTTCCTTCTGTGTGATCATGAGATAAAACACTGGAATATTTCTCTTTCTTAGTTTCTATTTGAGTTTATTGCAGCCTAATCTGTCTGTAACATCCTAGTGTGGCTGAACTTACCCTGTTAAATGTAATATAATAATTGCTATGTAAAAGATCATATCTTCCAGCCCCACTGAGTAAAATAAAAATTGCAGCTGTTGATTTTATATGACAAAGTGTTATATGTTTAATGCCAATTTAAGATTTTGTAGCACTAATAAGAATCATTTGGATTGCAAGGAGGATTTTTAGGGAAGAACTTACTGACAATGGTACCTAGAAGCTGGACACCCCTTCTGCATTGAAGTCACTCCAGAAGTCTTTACAAATGACCTTAGTGTAGTAACTTCTCTGGAATTAATAAACCTAGATAAAAACATCTGCACTATAGCTGCAATATTGCCTTTGGATGAAATCTAACTTAATTTCCCAGAAGAGCTTATGTGGAGTCATCGATCATGTATTTTAAAAAAAATATTTATTAGCAAAAGGACCCCACAGATCTCTTGATCTGGTTGTTTAACTTTAGAGCTACCTGATAAGAAGTTGCAGGTAGGTGGGGGCTGGTCTCTTCTGCCTTATCTCAAATGAAAGGATGAGGGGAAATGGCCTTAAATTATGTCAGGGGACATTCAGATCAGATATTAGAAAAGAAAATAATCACTGAAAGAGTGGTTCTAGGCATTGGAATAAGTTGCCCAGGGAGTTGGGGGAGCCATTATCCCTGGAAGTGCTCAAGAATCATCTGGATGTGGAACTTGGGGATGTGGTTTAGGGTTGATGATGGTGGGGCTGGATGATCTTGTAGGTGTCTCCCAGCCTCGATAATTCTCTGATTTATTAATTTGATTTATTAATTTGATTTATTTTTTAATTTGTAATTTACAAAGGCCTTAACTCCCAGAATCGAGTGGCTTCTGCCTTACTTGTTTTTTAGTGATTTTTATGATGCCCACACTAGTGAGTGTCTTTATGGACTGGAGACTGCTGGCACCTCAGCATTCTCCTCTCTGCACTCTGGGTCTGTCTCAGTGCTGGAGATGTTTTTCCCAGTCTGGGACAGCTGCATTTTGCCAGACTTAGTGACAGAGAACAAGCACCCCAAGTTTGTTGGACTCTCTCTATTCAGCACATTTTGCCAATCTTGCAAATACAAAATAAAGCACAGGATAATCACTCAGACACTTAGCAAGTTCAGCAGTGTTGCCTTACCAGAAGGGGAAGGTGGCTCCTCAATCATAGGTGGAGCTGGGAAAAAAAACCCCACAATAATCAAAGTTAATTGGTTGAGCCTAAAACTTTTTCTGTTTTTCTGATAATTGATCTAAGAGTTAATGTTATTTTTTTTCTACATTTGTCAAACAAACTAGAAGTTTAAGTATGATCACAGAATTATATCAAAGACACCCTACTGCTCCCAAAATTTAGATGATGGAAATATTTTAATTCTGTATTTTCAGAACATCTTTTTTTTTTCATTTTGAAAACTGCAAAACATTTAACTTTGAAATTTTTTGAACAATTGTTATTTCACTTTACATTTTGAAAACATTTTTCTCTTGAGAATTATGTGCATTAAAATAAAGATATTAAAGGGTTTATATTATTTTAAAACTATTTTTTCTATTTTAAGCAGAAGTAAACCTATGTGGTTGAGCATTATGAAAATTTCCAGCTGGTTTATTCAAGCAAGACACCTTAAAAATTTATAATTTGTTTTGATGTGTATTCCTTATTTTTTTATTTTCTTTTTCAGTTGGTTGGCTGGTCAAACTCAATGCCTCATCCTTCTGGTGGCTATGCTTGTAGCTAGTTCAAAAATGTTATCTCAGTTGTCTGGCATTATTCAAACATGTTTTATAGTGTCACTCATTTTGCTAAGGATGAAAAATAAAAATTCTTGTTGCATCTGTCCAACCATGTCACCAGAACCACATCGTCCATTTGCAAGGGAAAAGGAAAATAACAACTGGCTGCCGTTCCTCTGAAAGGGTCTGTGAGCTGGACTTTGGATTGCCAGAGATTAAACTTCTGCCTCACAGACCCACCTGCAAACAGAGAAATTAACTCTCCTGTCCCTCTGGGGCAAAGTGGATCAAGGACAGTACAAACCCTTGAATCACCAAATGCTTACATTTGGGGACATTATTCCTTGATGTTTCCTCAAAGGGAGGATGAAGAGGCAGGTGCCTTGCCTTTAGGAGTCCTGAAGTGCTAAAACTTAACAAAGAGGATTTATCTTTTCTTTCTCACACGTTCTCCCAACAAAAACAAGGAACAGAATGAAACTGAGTGAAAAATTGCTTTAAAAATTGAACTAATCCCTCTCAATGACCTCATATGGCTTATCAACAAGCAATGGTGCCCTGGACTCACCCCTCTGTACAAAATAAAAAAAAAAATTATTAAAAAAAAATCTTACCTGATACTTTCAGTTTAATTGTCGATTTCTTTGTTTGGTGGCTCTCAGCCTCTCTGTAGATGCAGGAATATTCAGCATCATCCCCTAACTGGACATTGGAGATCTTTAAGGAAAGGTTGCCATACTTCATCTGGTCTAGGAAAAGACTGGTTCTGCCCAGGAATTTTTTGTCCTGGTCCTTCAGTGAATCCTGCCCATTCTGAAAGAAGTGCACCAGCTCCGTGGTGCCAATCTGCCAGTAGAGCAGTGACTTGGTAAGGGTCAGCTCTCCAGGAGGGCTGGTGGAGCAAGGCAAAACCACAGTTTCTCCAACAAATGCATGGCATGTGCTGTGCAGCTGACCTGGAATAAAACCCAGACAGTTCCCTCAGCGTGCAGCAGAGACAGGGGCTCCAGGTTCCTTATAATTTTACTTCACCACATCATTATTGCCACTCTCCCTCCCAAATCCTCCTGTTCCCAGCCAGGAGGGCCATGTGTGCTCAGAGCCCAGCCAGCTGTGCAGCAGGACAGATGTTGATATGTGCAAGTTTCCTCCACTTTGTAAGCGTGGCTTTTGCTTGAGCTTATTTCCTCTTGTCCCCTTAGCTGGTGATTTTTTTTCCAGCTTTTGGGGATCTCAGTCTTTGGAATTAAGTGTCTGATTTGACTTCAATTAATAGGGCAGTTCACAAGTGGAAAAGGGGATGCAGGGAGGTGGGGGTGGGCTGATATGATTAAACAAGTTCTGGTTTTGTAGGAAGTCTGGCTGAAAAAAAAAGGAGAAGTGTGAAAACAGTGCTAGACCAGGGGAGAAAAATCCTGGATGAGTCTGGTCTCCCACAACTCCCATTATTTGGGGACCAGATCATGATTCCCAACTTGTAAACAACGTGCTGGGGGCTCCCATCCCAGAAAGCCAGAAAGAAGAGTCTGTCATTCCCACTTTAGATAAATGGCTTTTCCAAGTCCTTGGGGAGATTTGGTGGGTGTCCCTGACATGAGGCAGAGGTGTTACCAACCTTCCCAACCTTCCCAACCAAATCCAGCACATGCAAGAGCCAGGATGAAGGGATCCTGCAGGTGGGCAAACAGGGCCAGCTGCACCCCACGTACACACACTGTCCATTTCATAACTTTGATGCCAATTATTTCCATAAATCCTTCCAAGTTAGCTGAAGGCATACTAAAACTTGCAAAAATGGGTGAGTTTGCCACTATCATGTAGGACAATTCCTATCAGATTGTAGGGCATTTTCTAGGGGAAAATCGGGTTATGGAAGAAGGTTTTTATGTATTATAAAGTATTCATAACTAGGTGTTTCCATCACAGAATGTGGGTTTAAATTAGCACTCTGACCAAATCTGTTGCATGAAATAATATTATAAATTAAAATGCAGATTAATTAATTTGGAAGCAAAAAGTTATTCCCAGCATGGAGCAGAACAAAAACAGCATGAGTCTGTGATTGCACCAAAAACAAAAGCTAAAATTCACTGTGAAACAATTCAATCTGCTTCCATGGCCAAAGTTCTGTGAAGCATAAGGGGCAAGTAATTAGACTCAATATTGAAATAAATATTCTTGGCTGCAGTGGGGTCGTTCCTGTGTCCCTGGCTTGCATCAGCTCTCTGCATATGTCAGGCTAAAGACCACAGAGAGTCCCAATTTCCCCTTGAAGTCAGTGACATCAGCTTGTCACATGCTCAGGGCTCTGTTTCCATGTCAATCAGCCTTCTTTGGTGTCACACTGAGTTTATCCACACATGAAAGCAGAAGGGAAAGCATGATCCAGACAGATGAATCTCCGAGCCAAGTAAATGTCTTCGGTTATAATTATCACTGCACATCTGCTTTTCTTTGGTTTTCACAGTTTTCAGCTGAAAATCCTGGCCCAATTTGCCCAACAATATCAACTTCTAGCTGAAAAAATGCACATATCTCAAGAGTTTTTTCTGGTTTGTGGTGGAAGGACAATCCCCTTGCTGTGTGGAGAGCTGAACTATTTGGTCATTATGCTTTGGCCATGACAAAAAATTCTTCACAGGGTGCTTAGAGCTAGGAACAGGCTGCCCAGGGAGGTGGAATCACCACCCCTGGAGGTGTTTAAGGAAAGACTGGACAAGACACTTAGTGCTGAGATCTGGGTGACAAGGTGGTGTTTGGGCACAGGTTGGACTTGATGACCTCAGAGGTCTTTTCCAACCTAATTGATTCTGTGGCTCTGTAATTTTCGGAATGTATCAGTTGCTGACCAGGTTTTGCTTCTCAAAGGGCGCTTGAATTACAGCAAAGCTCAGCCTCCACTGTGCTGTGCCCTTACTGCCCCAGCATCTCACCCTGCACTCAGTGACATGCCCAGGCAGGGCCAGCAGCACACCTGGAGGGGCCACCAGGGGCTGAAGGAGGGCAGGGAGCAGCCTGAGCCCCTTCCCTGAGCTCTGTGGGTCTGGGGAAGGGCTGTGCTCAGCAGAGGCAAAGCCATGTGTGAAAGCAGATTGTGGTTCTGGCTGACCGTGGTCAGGAAACCACAGTGGGAGATGAGTGTGCCTGAGGCTGCTGCAGGGGTTTGGTAGGCAGGGGAGGAAAGGAGCCTCCAGAAGAGGAGGGAGTGAAACTTTTCTGGTGGGAAAAGTCCTGTCTGCAGGGTGCTATTAGGAGAGAGTGCTTGCGGTGCATGATGTTGCACTTGGATGAAGAAAAGATGATAAACGGAGCTTGTAGCTCTAGTCAGAAAAATGGACAATAAGGATTTTCTTAATGAGCAAAAGAGGGAGAAAGGGTGTGGATCCTATCTCCTGGCTGTGGACACCTGTGCATTTGATACTGGCATTGGGAGTGCACCTATTTGCTATTGATTCATTTTCTGAAGATGGGGGACAGCAGTATTTAGCATACCTGAGCTGAGGTACCCATTCCCTCTCTCCCAGGCCACTGTGCACAAACTTTGTGACACTGGTGAGGACCCTACAAACACCCACAGGGTCCAGCCCACCCTGCCCTCAGGGCTTCCAGCTGGGAAAACCAGGGCAGGAGGAGACAAAAGCAGAGGCACTGCTGAAGCTGGGATAAGAGCAGGTGACTGAAATCTGTGTCATTAATTGTTTAATCAGCCCACAGCTGCACGAGATATTTTGTGGATGGGGAGAAGAGATTTCTGGGGGCAAGTATGTGTCTTTATAGAAGGCAGTCTTGAGGAGAAGAGTAAAGTCCTGCTGAAGGTTGGTTATTGGGAAGGATAAGGATTTGATAAGAAGGTCTCACAGACACGTATGTATAACAGAAGGATCTTTGAATGTAGAATCTGAAGAAGGAATAGAAAGGATAGCAAGTTTTGATAGAGGAGAAAAGAACTGCTGAGCCAGTCTTACTGGGTAACTAGAAGGCAAAGAGCAGGTGAGTTGGAAGGGGTTTTTATGACTTAGAGCAAAGGCTAAATTCACCTCAAACAAAAGATGTTTTTACCAAACAAAAGGCTTTTCACAGGCAAACAAGAAAGCCAATGTTGCAAGTAGAGGAAAGATCAGAATTTTTCACTGCAAGAAAACTGAAAAACAATTTCTAGTTTAAACTGTAACACACTAACCTTTGGTGATTGGAACATAGTAAAGTGGCTATAGATAATAGTAAAAGTATCGATTGGTTGTCATGTTTTAAGACGCTCTGTAATGAAAAGTATATACTGCATTGTAGCCAGAACTAGAGAAAGCTTCAGAAGAGCCCTGAGCTGTGGCTGACAGGCTGTGGGCTGGGCTCTTGTCTCCCACGACCTGTGAACTGCTGTATCATTTAGACAGAATAAACAGCATTTTAAAGAGCTGCCTGGAGCCCCACATCCCTCATTTTTGGCTCTTACAGTTAGTGATGCTGGGCAGATTCCCACTGAGGTTGTTGCTGCAGCAGGTGTGGAAGCATCTGTGGATCCCTGGCCAGAAAACCAAAGCTGCCTTGTGCTGGCAGCTGCTGCTGAGGTGTGTAAACCAGGATTAACAGTGCTTATCTTACCCACTAACTACGGTTTGCACGTGGAAAGGGCAGTTCTCCGTCTTGGAGAAGATGAGTGTTGCCACACAGCTTTCACTTGCAGTTGGGAGGCTTGAATGGGAAGTGGGATGAGTTTATTTTGTGGATTTTTTTTTTTAATTATGTGTTTTAAATATTGCTGAAATGTTTAAGCGTGTTAAGATGAAGTTGGATGTGACAATTTAATCAATCTGTAAGATTCCTGTAATGAGAAAACACTCCTGCTTTAGCAGTCAAAGTGTGGTGCAGGGAAACTTCATGGAGATTGGGCTTTTTTGTTCCCCCTTGCTTTCCAGGTGAGGTGTAGCATCCTTAACCACGACAGTGTCTGGTAAATGTGAGGCATTTCTGGGCAAACAGAGGAGTCCTGACCACACACAGAGGTCTCACTACTGCTGACTTTAATGTCAATGAGGAAACTGCACCTTGTATCAAGTTCTCTTAACAACATGTTCTAGTTTATCCTTTTTGTAAGGAAAATGGTATCTCATTTATATAATGTCAGAAAGTCAACTCTGCTAGAACTAAGCAGATGCAAGATGGTTGAGGCTTGTAAAGGATGAGATTCCAAGTCATCTTTAATATTATGGAAATGGTGGGGTATTTTTAAGGGTGTGGCAGGATAAACATTATAGGTAAAGGTTTATGGGTCTGAAGCACCTTAAATTTGAAAACCACTTCTTTTGGATACAGAGATTTATCTGAGGGTTACGACCTGTATTTGCAAACCTTGGACTGTGATGAAATGTATGCAAGTATATGCAAAGCAATGCATTCATTTGTTCTGTTTTGCTCCAAGATTCTGCTTGCAGCCTGTAGATGCCTCTGCAAATTCCTAGCTGTGCACTATGGAATATTTACCTGTGGGCAGAGAGGAAAGCAGTAAGCAGGCAACCATCCAGAGAGCAGTCTCCCTAAAGAGGAGAGAGAAAAGAGAAAGGTCAAATGCTTTGTTAGAATGCTAGAGCAGAGATCAAAGACCTTTTCTCTGGTGTAATTTATGCCATCTTTACCAGATCCTTCATCTGTGAGGGTAATTTGGATATGAAGCTGGATGGGTTAGAAACCCTGGCTTGTTTTGACATCTAGTCTTGGTTGAGGGTTTTATCTCCTGCCTGTAGAACTGAGGTTTCTCAGTGTTCATGATGGGACAAGGCTTCATTTGCCATCACCAAACCTGTACTTCCTTCTTGCCTTCACATATAGACAATGTTAATTGCATCTATATAGCCATTGGTTTGATTTTGAGATTATTTTCTGTTGGTAATTAAATGAAATTCCTTCAGCTCCTCCATAGTCCAAGGAAAAGCATAGCTTACCGTTTCATTTTTGTGCCTCCCAGCCCTTGGGAATCAGTCTCTGTCAGGAGCTTCACCAGACACTTCAGCTGCTGCTTGTGTCTCTGCAAAAGAGTGCAAGGCCCTTAATTTTTGTTGTTAGAAGTGTTCCTTATAAGAGAGAATAGGTTATTTACTGGTGCTTTGTTGCTGTTTTCTTTTACTTTGTGTATGTAAAACACGGTGTGTTGCTATATAATTTCTGGGTATGTAAATTCACTGTATGCTTACATTCTGCATACAATCTTGCAATACCAAGAATGTATTTTCCTGGGTAGGGCGGATGTGAGTCACAAGCCCTGCACTGACTAGCCCTCAGCTCTCGGCCCAGTGAAGGCATTTTTATTCTGCAGCCAGCTGGGAGCAAAGAAGGTGGAGAAACCTGATGGGTGTTGTATTTATCAGGAGGTGTAGGCACCATCTTATAAACTGCTAAATACTGCCAAAGCTGCACATCTACCAACGAAATAATCCTGTAAGGAAACTGAAAAGAGTTTCTTTGAGGATACTTTTAAATTAGGTACTTTCTTAGGCAAAAACATCCAAAATGGAGCAGGAGTGGTGATGGGAACAAATGTGGAGTTTGGGCTTTCTTTTGCCATCCTCGTGGGATGATAAAGAGTACAAATATCTGAGTGGTTGTTCCTCTCTGTGTGCTCCTGAGGTGATGCTGGTGGTGGAAGCAGTGGCCTGGCCAAGGCTCTCTTCCCACTGAGGAGGCTCTGTGTGGGAAGGTGCTGGTGCTGCTCTCCTGCTCCTGCCACAATTGGCTTCCTGGGGTGAGCAAGACCTGGATTTCTCTGTTCTTCCCTCTCTCCTCATGGCCAAGCCCTGCTTGTGAATTGTTCAGCAGCCCCTTCCCTTTGCTCAGTGCAAACCATTTGCCTGGTTTCTTTGACATTAACAGTGTGTCCTGCCTGTCTCTGCTGGACTCCTGTGCTTGCCTCCCTCCCCACTGGAGGAGGTCAATGTTTCAGGCAAGGGTGTACATTTTTGGAAGCTTATTCCATATTTGTGTCCTTCCTGCCTATCTGTTGTCAATTAAACTGAGGCACTGATGGTCACTCCTATCACAGAATCATTTAGGTTGGAAAAGACCTCTGAGCTATTCCAGCCTTTGTCTGATCACCACTTTGTCAGCCAGACCAGAGGGCTGTGTCCAGCTGTTTCTTGAACACCTCCAGAGCTGCTGACTCTGCCACCTCCCTGTGCAGCCCACTCTAATGCTTAACAGCCTTTTCTGTTGAAATTTCAGAAATTCAGAAACATCAGAAATTCTTTCTGATGTCCAGCCTGAACCTCCCCAGGTGCAGTGTGAGGCTGTGTCCTCTCACCGTGGCTGCCTGTGAAGAGTTTATCTGCCCTCTCAGCTTTGTGCAGATGTTCCACCCCACATAAGGCTGCAAAAATACCAGGAGCAAACTTGTTCTGCTGGACCAGGGCTCCACAGCACCCTGTCCTTTAGGCAGCAGCAGGTCTGGCCATGCTGAAGGAGTCTGCCCTAGCAGCTGATGCTCTGTGATGCTGTGGCTGTGCCCACTCCCTCTGTACATACAGGCGGTCCTTATGATAATCTCCTTATTCAGAAACAGCTAAAAATTTTGGCATGTGTGGCCAGCTAACAGGCCTTTTCACAGGTGCAGTAGCAGCAGACTGGAATGACCCAGCAGTCAGAGCTCCTCAAAGTTGTGTCATTGTCCTGGAGGATCAGTCATATTCCCACAGATCTGATTCTGACTCAGGAAAACAGGAGGGTGGTTCCAGCACAGCTGGTTTGTTTGTGTCCCTGCCTTTGGCTGGCTCACTCCCACGGAGTCCCTGTGGAGTGTCTGGTTCTCAGAAATGCCTCCTCGGAAGTTTTGGACTGGGGTGTCGCTGAGAACCAAATTGCATCTGAATTGTGTGTGAATATTGAGCTCTCTTGCCATCCACGTGCTGGTGGTGCTTCCCTACTGAAGTTAAATTTGTGCAAAAGGAGAGAGCAGTGCAGGTCTTTTTTAAGGAAGCAGAATCAAACCACAGCAATGCTTCAGATGGGTCTAGCTGGAGCACCTGACCCTTAATTTAGCTTTATTCAGTGCTGATTAGTTGAAATAACATTTCTTTCTAGTTTGAGCTGACTTAACTTGATGCTCCTAGTACCCTAAAGGAGAGATCTGTTCTTGTCTGTGCACTTGAGCTGGTGCAAGATGTTTCATGCACCGTGTGGATAAGCACTTAAAACAGTTTCTATTTGATATTTCATTTATTTTCCATTTCTGGTTTAAATGAAATAGAAGTTTGGAAACTAACAGTTTTTTCTTTTTATTTTTTTTAAAAAAATGAATTTTAACCCATTTATTGTTCATTTAAATCAACTGGAGGAATTACTTAGGACTTTTATTTTTTTCCCCCAGACATTAAAATAATTAACTGAGTAAGGCTTTGCAATGAAAAATCACTTCCTGAAGAATTCAAATGCTAATTAATAACCCTTTAACATGCTAATCTACCTGAAATAACTAAGGCATTGGGTGCAATTAAAATATATTATTAAATTATAAAATGTGTGATTAAATTGTAAAGCATATGATTAAATTTCAAAATCATGATCTTGACTATCTTTGCCATCCAACTTGGGTCACATGTGCAGGGCCATTTATTGAGCACACTAGCTCAGCCTGCAATAAAATTAAATTAATCAAGTAGTGAAGTAACCAAATGTTCCCAGCAGAACAGCAGGGCTTTGAGTCCCAAAGCAAATGGGTTCCAATTGTCCCTTTCCAGTGCAGGAGGGAGAGGGTGAGAAAGGGTCTAAATGCTGCTGTCAAAGGCTTAATGATCTTGGAGCACTAAAACTCTCCCTGGTGACCACAGAGTGTGACAATGATATCAAAGTTGTTGTGAACTAAGTGGGCAAGACAAACTGGAGGAACTGGTTTGCTTTTTTAGCTTTTCCACTTCATCTGGCAGCATCCAGCACTGGGCACTGAATGAATGGTCATACAAGGAGGAGCAGACACCAGCTGGAGAAGGCAGCAGTTATTCTGAAAGGATTAGTCAGTATCGTCTGGCAGAGGCTGCTGCCAAGGTGGAATCTTCTCATTGTGCACCTGGCAAAGCTTGATATCTTAGTCATTGGTAATGTTTTCAAGTATGTTTTTTATTTCCCTCTCTGCCTCGCATGCCTTTGGCTTTAGAAAGCAGATTTATCAAAAGTGATTGTTGATACTGGTGCATGCAGGAGAGTGGAGGAGGCACCTTTCTCCATGACTCTGTGAAATCCTGAGTGTACCCTGAACTGAAAAATGCCACCTTGCTAGTCCTTACCCATGTGAAGGCAATTTTCTGTCATTTCTTTGAATGCTCTCCTCTCATGTAACCACAGCAACAGTCCTTTTACCTTTAGGTAAAAGCCATTAGTTAATAGAAAGCTAATGAGTGAGTTTGCAAGTGGAAATTACAGTCTGGTTTCTTAGAGAAAGTTTTATGATGTAACAGCCTGTACCGAAACTGGGTGATTACTTCTGGTCTTATCTGAAAGCAACCTATAAACAACATGAGGCATCATTTATAGGCTTGCCCTGTAATTAGTTCAAGGAGAGAGATTTAAGACATCTTGGAGAGGCACACATGCTGATATGCAGTCAAAAACAACAGTGGCTTCCTCTTCAATGGTTCTAGGTTTTGAAATTACCCTAATTTGAAAGCAATCTTCTGGAAGGTTGTGAGTGGTGGCAGTGAGTGTTTGTGCAGCCACCCTTGTGTCCTCTGCTTCCTTGGGGGACTGCCTGGGGCTTCAGGCTGCAAAATTGCTGTGGTGACAGCTGAGTCTTGGGTTGGGATCCTTTTCCTCAGATGCTCTGCTGTGGATGGCTGGCCTGGCTTTCACATTTGTTTTAGCCAACTTTATATGGTTGTAATTCTCTGAATTTGCCTTTGTCTACTGAGCACTGGGTTCTGTGTACTCTGTCCATGCTGCCTCCCTGTGCTCCAGTCACACCAGCCCAGCTGTGGAGGTGGTGGGTGGGTGCTGCCTTTGGGCTTTCCTGTGTTTCCCCATGCTGCTGGAATTTCCCATCGCCTGTTTAAGGCTTGTTGTGAGCCACAGACAAGCTCTAGGGACTGAAAGATTATCAAAAGCATTTCTGATCTGAAAAAAATTTTCCTTCTGGGGGACAATGAATGAGTGATGGTGCATGGTTTGCTCCTGGAAAGCTGCAGATTCAAAGAATCATTAAAGTTGGAAAAGACCTTTAAGATAATCCAAATGTCAATCCAGCACCACTGCTGTATTCACCACTAAACCATGTCCTCAGGTGCCACCTCTACATGTTTTCTGAACACTTCCACAGATAATTACTCCACCATTTCCTTGGGCAGCCTGTTCCAGTTCTTTACAACCCTTAAATCTTTTCCTGATATCCAATCTAAACCTCCCCTGGTGCAGCTTGAGGCCACTTCTGGTCCTGTCACTTGCTGTCTGGGAAAAGAGGCAGACCCCCACCTGGTTACAGCCTCTTTCAAATAATTGTAGGGAGTGATAAGGTTTTCTCTGAGCCTTCTTTTCTTCATCTTCAGCTGCTCCTCACCAGACTTGTGACTCCAGACCCTTTCCCACTCTTATTGCTCTTTGTTTGCTCCACTGTACCACATACAGATACTGCAGCAGGAACTTGGAGCCCCCCTGGCTTTTAAATAAATAGCTTTTGTTAAGGAAGAATTCATCTCTGTATATGGAAATTAAATTGTAGGGAAAACAGGCATTTCAGTTGATTAATGGATCAGTTTCAAATCAGAATTCAAATCTTCCCAAGAGTTTGAAAGAAAATAGCAAAACTCCAGAGGTGTCTGGCCAAAAATGGACAGTGTATGACCTCCCACACTTAGCAGACTGGAAGCCTCAAGAAACTAGACTGTGTTCTTGATTTCAGAACAGCCATTCTGAATAGCTCTGATGAAACTGCAGCAGTCTGTGGCTTTGTAAAATGGGAAGGCTTTGGTGGCCCAGGGGACTGATGCTAAAAGTGGCACGTTTCGTTTCAAGTTTCAGGGGGAAGGAAGCACGCTCTTGGTATGCAAGTGAACAGAATTCAACCCTGAGCA